ACACTTTGTCTGGTGAGGAAATTCACCTCAGCAGTACGGGAAGAGCTTCTGAAGGCTTTAGGTAAATTTATCTGTTTCATTATTTTGTATTCATGTATCCAGAGTGTTTTTAATGAGTGGCTTTTAATATATTAAAATGCATCACGTTTTCTTTTATTGTCCGGCAATAACATTCCCTGTGTATTCATCCACCAAGGCCCTACAGTCCTCTTCAATTCTATCAAGCTACACCAAATTGCAGACACCAATAAATATCAGTCCCATAAATATGTCTGATTTATTTTTCATCAGCAAATCGATGATTTATTCTTTGGGAAATAGGTGAAAATATAAAAACTGGCCTTTCGCAAAGTTAAAGAAAGTGATTGTCAGAATTTGTCCTTCTCTCTTGGCCTATTTCAAATTCTTCCACCAAGTTTAGTGAAAATCTGTTGAGTAGATTTTGCATAATCCTGCTGACAAACAAACCAAGCAACTAACAAACCAATGGAAAGAGGTAAAAACATAAACTCTGAGGTAAAAAGATCTTGACTACTCAATTTCCGAATTCACAAATCTTCAGTCTCAACTGACAAACCAACACTGTGGCTCTGGAGGGAGATAAGTGTGTCTTTCTCTCAGACATCACGACCTGCAGTGACAAAATGAAAGAATTTGCAGCAGATCCACTGTGCTGCTGGACTGATGTGTGACAGACGATGGGGCTAGTCTCAAGGCTTGTGGTGACAGGCCCTGGGTTTTTGATACACAGGGTGGAATAGGGTTGGAAAATGTCAGACAGAAGAACCGAGGGGGGAAAAGCACATCGATAACCTCTGTCTAAGTGAAAGTCTGAGGCTTTTTAATGAGATTTCTCTCCCTTATCTCCTCCTGCCCAGGTTTGGATAAATTGCAACTGTCAAACAGCCCCACAGACCCTGAATCTGGGAAGCTCTCGGCCAACGGGCATCAGAAAACTCTGTGAAAGGGACGACAGATCAACACACACACACACACACAAATATATATACTGACACACACTGACACACACACACACACACACACACACACACACACACACCTTAGCATAGCCAAAGGGAGATTTCAACAGTACTGCCTGACTGCTGAAAGGTGAGAGGGATTGGAGGGAACTTAATAAACCCCGGCAGTGTCTGACGGATGCTGCAAATGGAGGCTGAGAGCAATTTAGCTTCGTGACATTCCATCCTCTGCGTCTCAGATGGAAGCTGGGACAGAGCCAGGGATGCGACTGAGGAGCGAAACAGACTGGCATCACTGCAGTGACCTTGATGTTGACCTCAACTGCGACTGTGACTTTAAACCGCCCCTCTCTTTGCTTCAGGAGGCTCCCCCACCCCCCACTCCATCATTGCTACTTGGTATTCTTCTACAACCTCCTCAAGCTGCACTAGACAAAATCAAGAGGCTACAGCAGGTGAAACAAGGCACCTTCTGTCTTTTTTTTTTTTTTTAAGTCTTACATCTCACTTCTTTTACCTTCACCCTACTCCTGCTCTGTATTCAGCATAGTAAAATAGAACCCCACAATTTTCTAATGTCACTAAGTCCGTGGTTGCACTTGCAGTTTCTGGTCTCTAATCGTTGGTCTCTCGTTGCTATGTGGACTGATACAGGAGTGATTACGGTGTCAATTTGTCATTTTTGATTTAAACTGAAAATGTGAAAAATATGTGTTGACGCATGAGAAGAAGTCATTTATTCACACTCATCACAGCCGGGGAAAAACCTGCACAGCATCGATACAGTTCACGGGATATGCATCGGCGCTGTCGTTACTGATACGCCTTAGATTTTAGCACTCTTGCTTTCGTTGGTCTTCTTTTTTTTAAATTTGGCTTTACTCAAGTGCGCTTTAACTTTATCGATGATGTCATTATAGTTTGTATGGAGTATGGTAAGAACTTTTTTAGATGCCCTCGACTTGACTTGAGCTACTCAACAAATGGAAAACTAAACTATTGCGAGAGTTTTATCCACGTCAGTTCCCGTGAGAATGATTGAGTCTGTTGGTTGTATTTCCTTAAATATATGCACATGATAAGAATTTTGCTCATCCCAAAAAGATCAGATTTGTCATTTTGTTAAATGTTGTATTTCCATGTACATTAAGTATGATACTGTGTTTCATACCTCTTCCACATTATTTGGATGTAATTACCGGACTCTCTGTGAGTCCACTGAGGGTCTGACTCGCTGAGCAATCTGTATTTTTCAGACATATTTTATTTGTTTATAAAAACACATAAATCGAATGCAAACCTGTAACAGTCTTCACATTCAAAGTGCACGAGTTTGCAGGTGGTAGAAAGACTTGGTGACTCAGGCCCCATCTACATGTTGTATTGCTGCATAATCTTCTGAACTGTGATGTTCTCTGTCTCCAGAACCACCTTAAATGCCTTAGACGACGAACATCTCACAGGCTTAATGTTAGGTTGTTTCCTGTTCTGTGTAGTCTGTTGATGTACATGTACGTGTGTGTACATTAACATTTTGTCTCTAGACAGTTCCACTGTGATCCGCTGTACACAACCGAGTTTCTAGTCTAAAGCCAGCTGTTGAAATGTACGATGTTTTGTTTTTTTTGCCATGAATGTTGTGAGAGAATCTCTCGACTCGTGAGAGGCTCAATTAAGTTACCTGAAAAACACGAGCACTCGCTAGAATATGATTGAGCGATCAAATGGTGTCGTTTTTATGGTGTTATAGATGTCATGTGTTTTCATGGTGACTAATATGACATGATGATGATGACACAAGGAAGCAAAAAAATGTAATTCATATATGCATTTAAAACTTGGGTTTCTCAGGACAGGGAATGTTTTACATCAAAGCTGTCTGCCGATGGTTGTTGCTACATTACAAAGATACATTGTCAACACTGAAGCCGGCTTCCCAAATTAGTAAATCGGACTCGAGAATGTTAATGTGGGATTTAAAGAAAAAAGAGCTTTTACCTTTCAAGAGTCCAGGTTACACAAAATCTTTCCTGGCAGAAACCTTCAGTACATTTTGTAGTATGTTGGAGTTTGTCTCACGCTTATGACGGAGTATTGGGCTCACTTAAAATGTGAAAGTCGTAATTTTAAGCTATGTGTCATTTCACAAATCATTTAACACAGTCAATCTTTTTGCACATCAGCACCATATTATTGTAAGTTTGTGCAATAAACTGAGTCTATTCTGAAGAAAGAACCACATGGAATTTGTTTTAATGAAGGAGAAGATGACCGACTGCGAGGTTATCATTGAGCACATCTGCATGATATTCACAGAGGTTTCATAGTTTCGGATCCATAAGGAGTTGAACTCCAGCGAGCATGGATTCTCATTAAATTAGGACCAATTCTTGTAAAACTACAACCTTATTCTCTTTTCTTCATCCTAAGACTCATCATACTTGCTCATAAAGTGTTGTCAGCAAGTCATTCTAGGACAATGCTGATCATTGGGGGGAAAATCAAGATGGCTCAAAATTATAAGGTAAAGCAAAAAGATTGATACTGTAAGTTAAAGTAAAATAGTTTAAATGAGTACAAAAGTTTTTCTGACTTGATCCGGATGAATTATAATCACTAAAATTGCTTTATGGTGATTTTTTTTTCTTCTTTACATTTCCACCATAGCTTTGATCACATCTATTCAGCGGAGTGTGGTAACGTTGGACTCTGGCAGGGAAGCATCACAATCAGTCTCCTCGCAGTCGCTTCTGACCTGAGAGCCGACAGGTCTTTTTTTCGATTACAGCGTTTCTGGTTGACTTTACCGTCAATCTGTGTTTTCTGTGGGGGTTTCTAAAGTCGAGAGTTGGTGTGTACTGTAAGTGACGCAGCTTTTATTTCCGTCTCTATGTCAGTCAGTCTCTGCATGTAATTTTTTGGTACATGTCTTGTGAATGTATTTTTTTACAAATTTCTCAGTTTGCTAAATTCATGTTTGTTATTTTTTGATGTTTATGTGTTTGAAAATAAAAGTAGAAAATGCTTCAGCATCTGTTGTTTTCATTGTATCATCCAGGGCATTAGTGGTGGTTGACAAATTACTAAAATACATATATTTGATTTTTACACCTTATTTGCCAGATAGTTGCTGAGAGTTTGGTAAGAACAACAAAACGTCTTGTGTTTCTGTGCTGGAGCCAAGACCTGATAAGCTTAGATTAGCTTAGCATAAAGACTAGAAACTCTGACCAAAGGTTAAATAAATCAGCAGCCTTAAAACCCACTAACAATTAAATCTCACTTCTTTAATCCAAACACAAACAACAATGTAAAAATGACAGCTTGTGGATTTACAGGAAGGTGCGTGCAGTATGTTTTGGCAAACAACGCCTGGGCGTAATGACCTCCACGAGTTTCTGCTGGTTCCTGGTTTCTCTCAGTGTGATAAGATGATTACAGGGAGTCACTGCGCCAAAAAAAAAATCTAAGTACATTTCTTTCCATTTGAAGCTTAAACAAGAGCGATGCTGTGTGTTCAGTGAGTTCAGAGTTACCTAGTTGGTTTCCACTACCCTTCATATTTATGTTAAGCTAAGCCAACTGCCGCCTTTAACATAAGCAATCAGACATGCAATTAAGTCAAAAACATTCTCCTGTTATTTTCGAGAGAAACACAAATGTCCGAGTCAGTTGCTCCAGAGACGTTTTCTGGAGCTTCTGTTGATAATGGCCGACACTGGTGTTGATCTGCTGCAAACAAAAATGTGCTTTCTGCAGCAGAATGAATGCACCATGTCCCGCCTCTAACCAGACCCCGCCCCTCGCCTGAATATTCAGGCCATTTTCCGGTTGTTGTGAACGCGTCCGACATGAACAATAATCTCCTGCTGTGTTTTTCATATGTGAAAGAGAATAAGTACATTTCCCCTTCAATCCCTGGATCTTGTTATAATTTAGCTTTTTTAAATACATATGACTTGATCCAACAAATCTTACGAGACGGGACAATCTAAAATGCCACCTTGCATAAATTTGTACCTGTTTTAGATGAGTCTTTTGTGGTAGGCAGATCTGCACAGGGGACATGAAGGTCTGCTGACGGCTGCAAACGACTCAAAGGCCTCTAAACAAAGCTGGTGGAAAAGGTGGGAACAGGACAGCAGCACCGTTCGTCTGTGTTGATGACGGTTGGATGTAGCAGCTTGTGTTGAGAGGTTCAGGCTGCACACTGCAGTCAGGCAGATGGGACAGTCCCACACATCTCTCTGGATAGCCTGTTCAAACAAACAAGTTCATCTACCTGTAAGTCATGCAATGAATAAAGGACGATGCAGAATATCTAGCAGGGTTACTGTCTGTTAAAATATACACAGACTCCAGATCCGGAAAGTGAACCCAATGTGAAAGTGCGTGAAACCTGTTTTCTCTCCAATTACCAGCAGGGGACTACTGCACTGGTTTTAAAATAGTTTGATTATTTCTCACTTGATTTATTACGTCAGTAAACATTTGCATAAGGCATTTAAAATCTCAGGCACTAGTCTTCTTCAATACATGATGTTCATTTTGTAAAGAACGGCCTCATTTAGAGTTACAAAGACGATGGTACACGGCAGGTGTGTGTACTGTAGGTGGGCGTGCAAAGTCCTCCAGCTCTCAGTCAGGCTCCACCCCCTGCTCCCCCAAATATGGTTACTTTGGTTTCAATCAACCAAGATGGCGCTGGACAAAATACCAAACTACAGGCTTCAAAACATCAGCTCATAAACCGATGAATGGATATCCTTCTGAACAAATCTGCTACTTACAATGGCATGTTTATCAGTGATCCTTATAAAAACAAATCAATCAGCACCGCCAATGATAAACTAAAAACACAGCTACCTGGATTCAACAATGTTAAATGTTTCATATCAAGCTCTTGCATCTGTGGAGAAGATGCAGGGTTTGTGTTGAGCACATTCACTGTTTGATACCTGATGTCAAGGCTGAGCCACTCGTCCCTTGTTCCTCAAACTTTTCACACCAGATTTTTATTTTTTTCCAAACCTTCTCACGCACCTCACCCCTTCAATGGAAAATGGTACTGGCTGCTATGAAAGCCAACAATGGAGCCTTATGGAAGAGCAAATCTTAAAGTCTTTTCAGTTCCTCCGCAGCCGCCCAAGCGATGAAAAGCCTGTCGTGCATTATCAGACTAGCTCGTGTTTTTTGTAAACACAGCGGATTATTAGCCCGCTGCCATTCATTTGCAAAAGTGAATGATCTCCTCAGGAGACAGGATTACTTCATCTAAAGCAGCTGTGACGCTGTGTTCCCCAAGCAAGCGTTAACATGTCAAGGAAAGACAAGGTTGGGTGAAGAAGAATCAGACTTGGATTATTTATTACAAGGCCACGTTCAAAGGCACAAATGGCTTGTGGTCGTTCTGCAGAGTGTGTCTGACCTGGCTCTGTATTCGGTCCCAGTCGTTCTCCTGTGGTTCAGAGACGCTCTTTCTCTCCAACTGCTGGAACACTCGTCTGCTTGATGACAGGGAGCGGTCGATATCACTCAGAAAAGCCTCCGTGTCGGTGTGACAGTATCGGACAAAGCTGTCATTCAACTCCTGCAACTAATTAGAAAAACCATTTTATTGGCACAAAGGAGGCATGTTTCATTCAGGGACACAATAGAGTCGTGTTTTCGGCAAAGGCTAATTATGTGTGTGTGTATTGTAATGGCTGAGGCACGCTGACAGGGTGCAGTTGTTAAACAGCCAGATCAATACAGTCATGTCTCCCACTAACAAGGAGAATTAATGGAAACCAGTGAAAAAATGGAAGACTGTGCTGGGAAACATGCAAACAGACACATCAGTGACGGATTTTCTGTTTCATACATGGTCACATTAGCATGCTCTCTCGTCTGCCTCGTACACAGTGTTTGGTAGGAAAAACTAATGGATTGCTAATCAATAGAGGGTTATTGAATTTCTCTCCTGTGAAATAATGTGTGGCACTGATGGATCTTGATCTCTGTCTCTCTACAGTCAAGTCTTCCATTCTCAATTTGACCATTTTAAAGAACCCTTCTATGTGTCTGTGTTCCCATAACTCATCTGTCTTCTCCCATTTACAACAGCTGTTGCTAGGCAACGATTAATGCCTTAACAGGCATATTACTGTTTATATCAAAATCAATTTCAATAGTCAATGAAGGGGCTATTTATAAAATTCAAAGGTACTGTGCAGTAGACCCATAAAAATAAATTTCTGCATGTAACAGAAGTGACAATAACAGGGCTGCTCGGAGAACACAGTCCTCCGAAGAGGCGAATGCCCTATCTCGCCATGTTAAAGAAAGTTAAACAAAAGTCCTGGATCCTCTCGTTTATCCAGATCCGCTCCAAAATTCAATGCGTTCTTCCTTGAGTCATGCTTTACTCTTCCACAAACTTTCCCGGAAATCGGTTGAGTAATTTTTGAGTGATGATGCTGACAGACAGCTTTGAAAACATGACCTCCTTGGTGGAGATAATAACATCACCTAAACCATCTCCATGACAACTGAACAAACTAGACTGCTGATGATGATGAAGGCCGTGAGGTGAGGCCAAAATCCAAAGATATTCACTTTACTAGGTTAATAACTGTATCACTATCAGCAAAATCATGTAGAGGCTGGCAAATAAGTTAAATGTTGATCAAAACAGTTGTCGAAAATTTCCGTCAATCAACTATTTACTGACACACACACACACATACATACACACCATCCCATAGCCAGCCACAGTGACATGAGAATTGCTTTACAGCTAGGCTTTTATCACTAATTAAACAACTGTTAACTATTCGGATGGAGGGTTTTATGAGCCTGGCTGACTTTTCGACAGTCAAAGCAAACAGTACAGCCTCTGGTGAACTTTGCATTGCTCCACAGTAGATGGGGACAGGGGAGGACACAGAAGGGGAAGAGGAGGTGGAGCGCAGAGGCGTTATCTCACGGTAATCCATCTCGATGCCGGTAGTGTCCCCCTTAATGTGTTGACTCAGGGTCGGACCTCCGAAGTGAGTAAAAATTGAAAGCTGGGCATCGGGATCAGCTGATAACATTTCTGAAACTGAAACAGTGGAGTTTCTCTTTTTTCCCCTCAGGCAACACCTGGTACAAAGATGCTTTATGGCCTCCTGCTATCATGAGGAAAACTGAAAGAAAAGGTTCCTCTGTCTCACACAGGTTTCAGCCCAGCGCTAACACGCCTGTTTGCATTACAGTCAGCTAAGCAAATACGTCTTCCCCTTGAAAATCAAGTCAATCAGACCTGTCAGCGCCGTGTTGCACAGCTCGCAGCTCTTGAAGATCATCCTCGGTGTGACAAAAGATATGAGACAATCTCATGACCACCCACGACCACTGAAACACATTCTGAATGTAAAGTGTCTGACAGCGGCGGTGACTCCGTCCTGGGCATGTGAACCCGGACATGGCCTAATGCGTCAGAACAGAGTTAATTGGTTCAGTAAATGCTGTGTCTTTGTTTACGTGACATGTTGGGGCAGAGTTTATAGGCGAGATGATGGAGAGTGACGAGGGGGGGGGGGATGTGTAGGACACTCTGACCCTTGCAACACATTATAAGTGTGGTCCTCATACATATGTCAGTTTTGTTTAATCAACCTCTTTGAGGCACAGGAGCACTCTACCAGATTACAACACACAGACATATAAATATACCTGTTCTTTAAGACACACCGGGCATACAGAGCATGCAAGCATTTCAGATTAGGGCCAATGAATGAATTTGTATGAGAAACAACTTTGTGAGAAATGATTCGCGACATCTTTGATCATCTCAGGCTTCACGCTGGATGAGGTTCACTAGGTGGCAATGTTCCCTTTTGCTGGGAGCCACCGTGAAGGCAACACAAGCCTCACAGTCATATGACCCCATCCGCTGGCTGCTCTCGAGACCATCGGTCAGCCGCTCTGAAATATTCCCTCCATCGTGTCCAGTGGTCGCATGATTTATGGCTTTGAAATGGGACAAGAGAACAAAGCCTGAAGCCAGAAACTGCGTCAGGTATCCAAGCACCCCGGCCGAATTCTCGTCTTCACCCTTTCCTGTCCAGCCAAGTCATACACACGCTACACACACGCTGATCGATGAAGGAATACCAGACCCAAGCATTGTGCTTTTGTGTTGACCGTGGAATGTCCAGACTGTTTGACGAACACACACAACTCTCTTCACATTAGTGGACAAACAGTGTATGATTCACAAAGCATCAAAGAGGCTCGAGAGGGTGACAGCAGGTGAACGTGTGTGTGTTAGCAGTGGGGTCAGCGAGTCCCTGAGACCCATTTCTCAACCCTGAAGATGTGATGTTCGTCAACACCTTTATTCGACTACACGGTCAAAGAATGTCAGAATAAATGGTAAACAGACTGTAATATTATATAATATAGCGTGACATCCATCTCACGATATAGTATTATACATTATAAAGCACTTTTCCAGTCTTATCAACCACTCATACACTATCAGCACAGCCATCAGTGGCAATTTGGGGTTCAGCACCTTGCACAAAGGCACTTCTGAATGGAGACTGGAAGTGCCGGGGATCAAACCACCAACCGTCTGAGTAGTGGACGACCCTCTCTACCTGTAGCCTTTGCTATGTGGCTGATGTAGAAGAAAATGAGACTTGAGGACACATACTTATTGTACGTCTAGTGTGGCCAATCTACCACATCTTGATGTGTGACAGTCCACACTCACCTTCGCCTCAAAGAATTTGCGTCGCAGCCGTTTGTCTTTTGGGCAGATTGTTTTCCTCATACGCTTGTACCACTTTCGAGCGACGTAGCCTCGCCAGCATGCTTGGATTCTGCACACGCACAAAATACAGTCACAAAACAAAAGAATCAATGATTCTACATTTTGCATTCATTTACTTGGTTGCATTTACCTGGTGGCACTCTGGTGTCTGAAGAGGCGAGCTGCATCGTGTATCATGCGTGTTTCATACTGCTCCCTCCTGCACATAGGGCAGCGCTTCATCCCTGAAAATCTTTCAAAGGCCTGTAGACATGCTCTGTGGAAAACATGAGAGCAAGACAGCAGCACCTGCAAAGAGACGGTTATCCAGATGAATCCATTTATATGAGTATACAAAATAATATCACACGAGAAGCAGCATCTAAATTGATCTTATGAGTTGAGATTTCATGGGTTGACTGACTATATAGGTTACAATGTCTCCCGAGGATGTGTATTGGTTTTACCTTTAAGTGCTTAGAAAGGCTCTCATACAGTATACGGTCTATGTGTATGAGAGCTTTAAGCCACTTTAAATCAGTGTGTATTCATGCCAATACCTGAATGTGTGTATTTGATGTTAAGTGTTATTTGTCAAGGGGATAGAGGGAGTCAGCATGACCCCCAGTGGGGCGATTGGGACCTGGACTAAACTCTTCTACCTGCGAAAGGGGCTCTTTTATCGTCTGAAAGGAGACCGCCGCTGCTGTGGGGCTTTGCACACAAACCAGTATACTCAGATCTCTTGAGGGCAGAGGGGAGGCATATTGATTTCCTATTGTTTTTTTGGCCTGACCAACACACTCCATCACTGGTGAAAGGGCCCCCTGCAGTGTACAATTTCCAAGAGCTTCACAAGCCATTAGTCCAGAGAGAAATTTCACTTCTCACAACATTTTAATGGAACAAGCTACAGCCCAAGTTTCACAAAGAAACAGAGTAAAAAATGAATAGAAAGCAGTGTTTACATCGTGATTTATTACAGAGAATATTTGGTTGATATTGAAATAACAAGAGCTGGAGAGTAACAAAGATTTCGGTTCACACAACTGGTTCAGAGCAACTGCTGTTGTAAGCATTTTTCAATGTCCTTTAAAGACTTGAAAGACTGTGGCACAGTGGCATTGTCACAATATGAAGGCTTCCATGAAAATGCCAAATCAACAAAGATTCCCTCTTGTCACTTTCCCTTGTTAGCAGCCTCTAATTAACTTTTTTTTCTCCCCCTGAGTCAAACTAATATTTACACACGCATCTATGGCAACTGTGCTTTGTGAGGCCGCCTATTCTAGTCCCGCATTCTTGAGGAGATTGGCATCTTAAAAGGGGATCGGAAAGGTGTAAAAGACTGAAAGACCCTCACAGTTACACACTGATTGCTACATCATCACGTCACACTTGAGTTCCAAGGCAGTATGGGTAAATTTGTACAGTTGTCTACACAGATTAGAACATACAGGAACTGCAGGAGGAAGGGGGGCTTTGTGTGTGTATTTGTGTGCTTTTGTGGAAACACAGGTTTCCCCAAGGACAGACACAGAACATTGAAAATAACCTACAAAAAAGTAAGAGGTCTCTCACAGAGTATTAAAAGTAGCAACCGTGTTGGATGAATACCTGAGGCTGCAGGCGAAACTCCTCCCTGCATATCGCACAGGGCTGAGCGGATTCCCCCTGCTGAACGGACCTCGCCTTGACCTGCAGCCATTCGTCCTCCATCAGTCTCTCTGCTGGGGGAGCCACCAATCCCATCTTCTGGGCTAAAACATACACATATACACTGATGAGTTTTTCTTACATAAAAAACATTCCTAAGTCTGGAAGTTATTTGTTGTTTACCTAATGTTAAAGTAGGAGGAGCAGGATCCAGAACATATTCCCTCTCGTCTCGCCAGTCATCCGGCCTCTGCAAACCTTCCACTCTTCCTCTTGCATGTGGGCTTGTGGCTGCTTTTCTTTTGCATCTCAGGAAAGGGTCAGACAGTGAGACATCTGACTGCAGCAGGCTCCGCGTGATGTGGTCTTGAAAGGCAACGGAGGTGATCACCAACTTGCTGCTTGCATTAGACTTCAAGTCCTGTAAGAGACGTTATACAAAATGATGCATGAGGCTTTGCTAACTTCTTAACCTGGACAAAGCAGCAAATGCATATCATCATACATGCCGCCTGAATTTTTTTTTTACATTAATTACAAAAGGAGCTCGATATAAACAGCCTGAATCTGTATGAGTTGGTTACAGAAACAGTTTAGAGATGCAGTCGTTTAAATTTTGTCCGAATCTGATAGATTCTTCATTCACATTAACTGTACATAATTTATGTCTGTATTACTTATCTCAATATCACTTTAATCATTCAGTATTTAATTTATCTACGTTCTTACAATCAGTTTTCACAGCCTTTATCCTGTTCTCTGTCATATACACTACTCTGACTCTATAATTATAGTTATTTATTATTATTTTTATCAATTAATCATAGAAAACTGCATTGATTTATAACTGTCTGTGGACATTGCACTGATGTTATCGTTGTTTTCGCTCTTAATTGTTGTCTTGACATGCTCTTTGTGCTCAGAATTGCCCTCCGGGGACAAATGAAGTTGTTTGGAATAAAAACCTCACAGGACAGACTTTTTATGTATTTGGAGAAGTGTGAGGTAATGTCAAAAAGCAATATTATGATATCTTGGCTTAATTGTTGAGTGTCTGTGGGATCAAACAGCAGGATCTTGATGATATCTCCAGGAAAACGGAGAAAGTTGAACTTTTTTCCAGGTGGAGGAACAAAGTCTCAGACTTTATAAAAACCCCGGTCTGTATCAAATACTTTCAAGATGCATAATAAACTCCAATTAGGTCAAATGAAGAAAGCAATCACTAAATGATCCACTAATGAAGTAATTAGCTGGTTAAATACTTTTTTATAACTGCTCCTCACTTAACTTTACCCCAGGAAGTGAACTAAACTAGCAGGAGTTTAACCATCTGATTATGCTACTAGCTCATGAAGCTAGCAGGTGCAAAACAATGCGACGGAGTATTTTGACGTCATTTCTGCGACACAGTCTAAAAACTAAAGTGGAGACAAGAAGAAACGCTGTCTCTGTCTCTGATTCGTTTTCATTGAAGAGTAAATGATCACAGTGAAGTGAAAAGAAGTTAAGTCCAAACCTTCCGCATCGCCATCCTATCACCGGACTGTTTGACTGGTTACCTGGTAACTTTGTCCCCGCCCCCTCGCACCGAGGAGCCTCATCGCTGCCTCTGATTGGCTGAGCTGACGCCTCTGGGTGAGCTGATTGGTTGTTGTTTCCAAATGAATCAAGACGTGCGTTCAGTCTGATTTCTTCACGTGATATCAATCAAACTTTTCATTCAATCTAATTCAATTTACTGTATCAATTAAGAATCAATTTAAAGCTTATGGGTTATTTCTACTCTTTATTTCATTTACAGGATTTTAAATGGTTGAATGTAAATAAATAGTCCTTCTTTAATTATTTCGAGATTTATTGAGATGGGATTTCAATTTTGCGATTAAAAAACTAACTCACAAATACATAAACCAAAATATAATCATTGCTTACAATAAAATATATTTTTTAAATCTGATATTTTATTTCAATAAATCTATTTAACTTGAATATACTTCTAAAATAATTCCAGCACCAATTGAATTCTTGGTTAGATTAATATATTTGATTATGTATAAATCCACTAATATAATATAATGCATGTAAACTCTTGAAAGTAAAGAGCCTCAACATATATTTAATAGAAATGAAAATCAAATAAAATTACACATAATTGTATAGAATTGCTTTGTCAAGCTCCACAATGAGTAGTTTTACTTGTGATAAAATGTCATATAATATTATTATCCGGTAATACATTTTCTTTATTATACTTATGTATATTCTATCTACTCCATAGTATGTACAACACCCCTGTATTTACAATGTTGTTCTCTTCTATCACCATGCACAGGTACATTTGCTCTTTGAAAACTATGTGTGATGTCTCAATCTTACTAATGATTATTTTATTGTCAGGGGGATGTCAGTGAACAGTTGGAACCTGACCAAAGGAGGTTAGTCTGTGTGTCTCTGTGACTCATCGAGCTGTCGTCAGAGCAGCACTGAACAAAGCTAAGCTGCTCATACCTGTGCTGTGAGCTAAGGGATCCCTCACAGGTCACCCTTACATGGAAAACCATACACACAAACACACACACAGTCCAAACCGTCTCTTTTTGTGAGCGCGATGAAAAGTTTGCTTTATTTCTCACACACGGCGCGGGGGTGTGCGACTTTTAAAATGCTTTGCAGTCTTGATTGACTTTGATGTGTTCACTCAGAATCAGTGAAAACAGATGGCCGAAGAGAGGGCTAACGGTGAGGCCTGTCAATCCAGGGAGTCCTCTAAGAAAACAAAGTGAAGACCTGGCTCTGGAAGAGGAGGAAACCCCTGAGCTTCTCAAGAGGCTGCTGCATTCTTGAGATTAGGGCAAGAAAAACGCAGACCACTGCTGTTAATGCCCCAGACAAAGGCGTGGAACAATTTATTAGTTAAGAATTCGAGCTCAGAGCTCAATCAAAGGCCTGTCGTCCACAATGCCAGACTTGGGGCTTTGGTTTGTTGTTTTAAGTAAATAATCATGCTTAAAAGATATGGCAAAGATGGGGCTCAAGTCCCCCATAAAGCCTGCATTCTTCCAACTGTCATCAGAATGGATTTCAGTGTGCGCTTTTATTTTCAACAGGGACACTGTTTGTCTTTTTCTTTATGAATACCATTTTAAAGAGCTTTTTATTTAACTTTCTTCCCCCTGGACCTCTTTACCTGATCTGAGGTATTTCTGAAAAGACAACTCACCTTGACGTGCAAAGAGATGATGACTTAAATGAAAGGTGCAAAAAAAGATGTGCAGAGGAACAGCTTCTTAAATAAAACTCAACAGTTCTTCTGTACTCATGCATAACCTGCAATGACTCAGCCTACAGATAGTATCGTGTGACACAAACATGACGCTAATCAATACTTGTGTAAATAAAGCATCTAGAAGTGAATAAATGTGCAACACTTTCATGAGACTGAATCAGTTCATACTCTTAATGCAGGTCTTTGTCCCTACATCATACCCTGTGATGTATATTGCTTTGTTGTCAAATGAGTAATTGCAGTGAGATATAGATGAGAGAGGGCAGCCCATAATGGTTAATTAACAATTATGTCAGCCAGCAAGATGACCAGGAGACCAATCACTTTGATAGGAGACAGTGGAGGGGGACAGAAATCAAATTATTTTATGACTTGACCCATAATGCTTCCCTAACATGACTCTAATCACTCTGTGGTGGACAGGAGTCCCCCATGGCTATCTAGGAGTGAACCAGTGGGGAGTGGAGGACAGCGGGTCTTTACTATTTGCTGTTATCTCCTGCGTCATTGCTGAGTAAGTAAGCTATAAAAGAACACAGCCATCATTACAGCCGTTTGGTTGCTCTGCAGAGAGATGGAGCTCCTAATGATTAGACATGTCCTTTGTAAATGAAATACAGATCACCCCAGGCTTTTGGTTTTACTTCATTTACTAAGTGCTACATTACCTCATACTTTGGACCTAACAATGGATTTCCCATAAATCTCCGGGTATTTGAAATGATGAAGGGGCTCACATATCACGAAATGTGCCAGCGCTTATTAGCACTTGAGAAGTTATTGATCGAGAATTTTGATTAATGTCCACTGGGGGCTACGGTGGCATTCACAGACCTGTGGAGGCCCCACTGTGCGACTGGCTGGGAGTTCTCCCTCTCAATTACCTCCGGTTTGTGCTGACTGCCAGCCCGAGCTCTGGCAAGATGACAGCCACTGCAGCGTTGGTTCCAACGCCAGGAGTAAAACAAAGTCACCCCATATTTGCCGGCACATGCATAGGTTTTGCGATTAACGTCGATAAAGTTGACTGTTTTACCATCAAAAAGTCAATTAGATTTTAAAACATTGGATCCACGATTTAAGAGGGTAGATAAAAGTAAGATTCCCATTTTTTTTACAGATTTTGATGGCAAGGAGGAAACAGTTGCTGTCAAATTTTATCTATTGTACTTAGCTAGCTAATAAAGCTAACATTAGCTGAATGAGTTGGCTGAAAACATGTCTGCAGTTGAGTAGTTTGATATAGTATTTTCAGCTGGCTCATTTTGAAATGATGTCATGCTAAAAGATGCTAAAACTAAACATTAAAAGGAAAAATGTCAATCAATTTGATGATTCAATTAAAACTGAATCTACTGAAATTGGTATTGTAATACAGTGGAGCACAAACTAATGAAATATATGTTGCACAAACATTCTAACATAAACCTGTTTGGCTCTTGGCCTAAACGCAGTTTGGCTATAGAGTTCTGGAGCCCAAACTGCTAATGTCAGATACATTATCAGAGATGAACTCTGCTTAAGTTTGGGGTTATTGGGACACAAAGAATAATTCTAGAGATGAATGAGAGGGGTCTCCATCACTCAGCAAATAATAAATCCAGCACAAAAACCTAATCTTTTAAGATGTTTACATTTTTGTTTATCATCTAAATAAAATAAAATAAAAATAATGATAAAATGAGAGACTGATTGATTGATTGATAGATTGACTGATGGCATACAGAACAACCTGTGATAAGTGTCCACACCCAGCCATGGCCGTATACCAAGGGAACACAAGCAAAAAAGATAAAGATTGATCCATTTATCACAAAATACGAGAATTTCGGTTTGGGCTCCCGGGTGTAATGCCACTGCAGCGGGAACCAATAATTTCTGGCTTAGTTGTGCAGCCATCTTTCTCTTTAATGGACAATAATTGAGCAGAATCTGTCTCCATAGCTAGAAATAGACCAGAATAATGGCCATAAATTGTGCCCTTTAAAGCCACGAGCACTGAGAATCTTGGCGCCCCCATTACCTTTCATCCTCACATGTTGACTCCATGCTGATTACATACAATACACGTCCAAGAGCGTCAAATAATTTCAGTACATAATGCAACCAATTGACCTTTGTAGGTGCAGTGATGAAATTTCCACATCAGTTATTCCTCCAGTAGGTACAATTTTTTAAAATTTGATTTCTAAAATCAACACATTAAAAAGGATGCTCCTTGGACTTGAAATACAGAGCAGTGTTTAACAGACATACTCTATCAACCTCCTCAAAGGCGAGCTACTGTAAACGCAATTAACTTATTTCTTTTTTTTTAAAGGGACACCTGAATTAAATAAGCAGAGCTGCAGGAGAGTTCCTTCCAAACTCCGCCATAAATCAGCCGCAGCAGCTATTTCATCTGATTGAACGAGTGCACAGCCTGAAGTTTGCCTCTGCTGTGGGGAATGTGTTTGTGGTGAGTCTCATAAATGCCAAGTTCTTTGGGCAATAAGAATAAATATCACAACCACTCTCTAGAATTACCACATAATTGGGGACTTTCCGCGTCTGCACAGGACCCTGCTGTCTCCTCCTCCCCCTACCTTACATGTACTATAACGGATGAGTCCATAATAAGGGGGGGGGGGGGCATTTAGCATGTCATCGCACACAATTTAAAACTGCTTCAAGACAATAATAAAAAAAAAAGAAAAACTAACATCTTTAAAGCGACCATGTTGTTTGTATTTACATTATGCAGCAGGATCATATTAAAGGGTGTGTCCCAATCTTTATGCTAATTCTACAGTAAGTGGAATCAGAGTATGTTGTGCATTCATACACTTCACGAGTGATCACCTGAAAATATGAGAATTGTTTTGGATGAGTCTTTATATCTACATTTGGAACAAATCGTCGTTGCACTACTGTGTTTTTACATGTCTTCAAAAGGACAAAACTTCCACTGAGAGGACATACAGTACATTACATAACCTCAAGGCTACTGTAGATTATTCTCTACCTTTAAAAGGCTGAGTTGATGTGAGGGGTATTAACCATTAGTAGTTCTTGACTATTTTGGCCGTTTTTGAGGGCCCTTATTTCCATATTACCTTTCCGTACAATATTTTCTATATGGCCACACAATTATTTTTTTTGCCTATGTGACATATTGGACCCAGAAACGATCACTTCAATCGTGAGTTAGTCTCGAGTGTCTATCATGACGTTTCACATCATTTTATAGCATCATACTTTTGAGTTTGTGTCCTTGTTGTACTTATTTAGCTCTCTTCTTCCCATTGGCTAATTATGCTATAATGTGGC